AGATAGATAGATAGATAGATATCTTGTGCAACCGTCATGATGTCGTGTCACTATTAGTTTTACTTTACACAGGCTGTAACACCAACTCACTGTGTGCTGACATCTAAGAAATGTGTCTCTGGTTTTTATTTTGGTTCATATGAGTCATGACTTCATGGCGAAGAAAAAATGAAGTAGAGAAAATGTGATTTAATGTTAAAGGGCATCAGAGGGCTGCATAAATAATGTTCTGTCAGTAACTTCATTCATGATGTTGCTGCTACACAGCATGCACCTATGGCCTAAATCTAAAGATAAATTCATCAGTAGGACAAAGGACAAAGTATTGTAAAGCAGTAAAATGTTCTGCCTGTGATTCATATCTTTGCTGTTGTAAGCATTAAGGGATCAAAAAATAAGCAATTTTATTCATTATATATTCTTTTAAATTAATCAGACGATTAATTGGTTATCGGAATTTTTTTTTTTGCCAAATATCAGAATCGGCATGGGCCTCAAAAAATCCATATCGGTCGGTCCCTAATCTGTAGTGACTCTGATTTTGTTGAACAGAGTTGTCTGTGGATTGTCGCAGGCATCAGAGGCCCAATCTGAAACAAACACATCACCTGGTACGTCTGCAGCATGGTGACAGAGCTCAATACAGGCTGTGCCCGCCTGAGCTTGGTACATTTTACCCAGCTGTGATGCAAAGACCATGCAGTGCTTACCACACTGTGGGTGTTGGACAGAATCAGGTGAGCAGCCAGACATGGCTCCATAGGCAGTGGATTAACCATGCCAGCTTTTTCAGTGCCATCCAGATCCAAATGCTGTCTATGGCAGGGCGCTGTGATGCGGGAGGACAGTGGTTTGTTACATCTTGAAGATAATTCTGAGACAAAGTCTGAGTAAAAGGGAAGGTTGTTTTCACTGTCGCTGCGTGGAGGGAAGAAAAATCACATTCACACTTGACTCAGAGATGAGAGGCTCATGCTGTGAGGCCGTGGTCATTCCCAGCACTTTTTTCAGAACATAACCCATCTTTCCAGGTTTGAACACCGAAGCTGGAGACAGAACTCGGACACCTCAGGCTGGGTGCTTACATCGAAACTCATTACTTTACAAGAAAACTCAAAATGAGTGCTCCACGGCCACATTCACTGAAGAGGTAACCATGGCTAACACAAACAGGGGCAGTTAAGCTAAGTTCAAGCAGCAGCCGACAGAGAACAGAACAAACCAGCAGGAGCTAGCTAGCCCGTTTCGGAGGAGAGCCGAGGGATGACTGTGATGACAGGTGCGTCTATGTGCACATCACCTGCATTAAAGCTGGAGCAGGGATGTGATCAGTCAGGCCATGTGGGGCTGTGACATCCCATAAGATATGTGTTGTACCGAGTGAACTGACTGAAAGGAACTGACAATTACACACACAGCTCTCAACACAAGTTACATACTACTTCTTACAGTTCTAAAAAACATTTATCTAATTTATCCTTTGAAATAAGTAAAATAAATAAATATGATACAGTTCCAATTCAAAGCATTCTGGATTTCACCATCAACATGTACCTTTCTACAAACATGTTTTAAGTTTGCATACTTTTGTTAATGATCCATATTTGGTGCTGTTCTAGCTTTTACAGCAGTAAACGGTGTTGATCAAGATTTTTCATCATTTTCTGACCTTTATAGACCAAACAACCAATTCCTTCATCGAGTAAATAATCAACAGACTGATTAGTTCAGCCCATACGACATAAGATGATACTTCTACTAAACTCGTACTGACCAAAGTACTGGAACTCTGATGAGGACCAGCGGATACAAGGCAAATATGTGTAACAATGGAATATTTACGTTCCCTTTTTGAACAATGAGCATTTTAAAGTTTTTATTTCAAAGCTGCTCAGAGTTTGTGAGGAGCTGCAGGTGTCTGTTTAGGTGTAACGTTTACGTGTCAGCTGTTTTCCCGAAGGGTTCCAGCCTCCGTCACCTCTCGCTAGCCTTTAGCTCGGAGCAGCGGGCGGTTCGCTAAGTTCCGCCGCCAGAGACGCATACCTGCAGCCGGTCTGCCGTCGTCCTCAAAGATAAGTCTGAAGTCCAGCTCCTCCGCGCAGTTTGTTGTGGACATTGAACTGAAGAGACGCTGTATGTCCTCAGAGAGACTTTTCGCCGAGCCGTCTGTCTGTCCGCCTGTCTGTCTGTCTACAGCTGACCTGTCTCACTCACTTCCATCCGACTGAAAGCAGAACTCCGCTTCAACGGAAGAAGCGCAAACAACACGTCGACTAACTCCGAAACAAAAGTTGTCGACCAACAGCTACACGCTCACTCAACGAGCCTCGGTCCTCCGGTACCGACGCCCTGCGGTGTCATGCCGGTGAGAGGCTTGTGTTGGCGGCTTGTGTTGCTTCGCAGAGTTACTCCCTCCAGCTTGATCCGGGTGCTGCCTTCATGCTCTGCTCGTAAACCCCGCTACCGCAGTGATAGAGGAAACTAGCGAGTATAGTTCAAGCAGCTGATGCGGTTTGTTTACTGTCAGTCAGCAGGTCGAGCTGCTCCTATATGTTGGCCTTGATCCATTACTATAAAGCATTCTTTTTAAAACAATGTAGGCTTTTGTAAGATATTCGTAATTTATAGGTCTCCTGTTAAAAAGGAAATAGAAATAAGGGACTTTGTGGCAGTCGTGTCTTATGTCTCATGCTTGCTTTATTTGCTTACACACTGAAACACTGGCCTAAATATTATGTGTATGTGGCTTCCAGGGTATTTGTAGTGTTCATTGTCATACATGTTTGAACCTAAAGTGTCCCACTGGAATAATTATAGTCTTTAAATTGAAGTGATCATAAGACACAAACTAAAACACGCACATTTGTAAAGCAAGTTTTGCACATTATGTTAAAATTCTATTTTAACCCATGATTTATGGACAGACTATAAAAATATACATATATCCTCTGAAAGTTCTAGTGGCACAGGCAGATGTTCACAATGTAGTATTCTACTTCTTACGTCTGTACTGGGCAGCTGCTTCTGTGGCAGGGGCACTTTAATGTCTTGTTTAGGATCAACTAAGTTACCGTGCAGCTTGTCTAACTGGTTTGTGGGTTTTAGGCAGAAAGATACCGAATATTAAAAATATTTGCTAATTCAAAAATGTGGTTATTTCTAAGCACTCCACATGGCGTAAGATCCTTTGACTAGAAGTTATTTTAAGGGATTGTAACAGTTGCATTTCGTGTGTGGTGACATTGCGTTGCGGCCAGTGTAGTTCCTGTCTGCGGTTCTGGAGGGTGATACCCATATTTACCAGCACACGCGAAGGGCGCATCAGGCCGCCCCGTGGTGACGTCACACGTGGCTGAGGTTCAGTTGAGGACTTGAAGACACCTGGAGCGGCCGACCAATGAGCGGTCGACCAATGAGCGGCCGACCAATGAGCTGCCTACCAGTGAGCGGCCGACCAATAAAAGGCCTCAAACCGAACGTTGGGTTTCCTGAACACTCCTTCATGTTTCTGAGGAAGCAGGTCCATCAGGCTGCAGGAACTCATAAGTAGGATCATTTCACACAAGTTTTAGCTTTCATTGAATTTGTATAACACTCATTTGAAAAATATATAACACAGGCCATTTCTTCAACATTAAAATAAAAACCGCTGTGTGTAAAGACTTTTAACAAGAAAACTTTAAGAAGTAATGAACCAGAGGTGGACACAAGTACACATACAGCCATATGACATCGTATTATACTTACCCAGTGGTGATAACTACAAATCTGTTCAGTCTTCTCTTCATTACAAACGAAACAGACAAATATTGAGTTTATGGCTCTTCTAAAATCAGGATTAAAAAAAACAAAAAAAAAAAAGTTGCTCTGAAAGGCACCAGGGTTACAATTCCCATTTCTCTGAAATACCTGATATGATGAAGCCTCAACATAAATGTTCAGCACTGCTCCCGACTGACTGCAAATCCACATGTGAGCCTCCTCAGTTACCATGGATTAAATAATATATTTGTTAAAAAGAAAACAACAAAGGTGAGGGTTGACTCTTCCAGGTGACTGGCTGAGCAGTTTCCAGTTTGACTGAAGCCATGAAAGTTAAAAAAAAAAAAAAAAAAAGAGAGAGAGAGAGAGACAAAGTCCAGAGGCATTTGAAAGCAAACAATCTGAATTTCGCCTTAATTTTTGGATTATATAAAAATAAACTTGAAATGATGCAAGTCAGTGTGACAATATGACCAATAAATGCTGCTCTTTAACACCAACATCAGCTTCAATGAAGGCTTGAATTGCTCTTCCAGCTCCCGTCTTCTCCTCCTGTTTAAAGAGTCCACTGTTCCTTCAACTCTTCATGGACCCTCTGGCTGTTTTTCAGGTGCGGCTGGTTTGTGATCCAAACCGTTGGTCACCACAGCGGGCTCTGAGCTTTCTGTTGCCTGTAGGATGTCCGCCACGTGTCGTTTCTTGCTCCTATCTTCCTCTGTGGCGCCGTTCATCTTACCCTCCCTCTTCCTCTTGCAGACCAGGCCAGAGTCCTCCTCACCGATGCGTCCCTCCGGTATTCCCAGAATTCGCAGGCAGACAATGGCAGCTGCTTGCTCTGCAAATTTCTTTGACTTCTCCCTGAAAACAGGATAATTTTACACGTAAGCTCAATTCCAAAAGTTAAATGTTTTACCTCGAGCAGTCATAAAAGAATTCTGTTCAAATAATACAGAACAAAATTTGCAAAATTCAGAAACGATCTGATTATTCCATATGAACTTTTATTTTTTTTTTTAAATTCACCCGAATTTCAACTAACACTGCCTCATGTTTTGGGGGACAATTGTGCTGAAAATGAATCCCTTTATGTTAACTCAGGGCTACATTATCTTTATATATGCAGCCTAAAGTGACCAGAGACTCTGTACATCCTATGGAACAAACATCTGTGGTGTTGCATAATGTTTCATTTGTGTCCATAGTAAAGCTCAGTGTGGTCAAAGCTGTCAGGAAGTGTGCTTAACCACCAAGATATCATAATAACTGTAGGAAATGAACTAAGCAGAAATACTTGAAGCCCAAGAACTTCACCAAACATTAGGTTTCCTCCTCTGTACTTTGTCACACCTTTTCTGCAGCTGTCTGAAATTTTTGTTTTGGTAGTTCTCTCCTTTAGTTTGTTCAGCAAGTGAATGCTGATACTTGGTCAATGCACAATATTCCAATTCTTCATCCATCTGTACTGTGTGGTGTTGTCCAATCAGTTTTGCAGCGTTTCGTTGAGTCAGAGCAGACTGTATCTGCCTGTACACCTCAGACTTCCTCCTGCTGCTTCTGTCACATCATCATGAATCACTCGTGAGTCAGTTCCTCTAGCAGCCGTACATGCCCTGCACTGTGTTTTATAGGTGATGTTGTTTAAAACATCGCCATACTTTTTCTTATCATCACCCTGGTGCAGGTTGATTCTAGTGTCATATATCCAAAGAATACAGGTCCAGAACTGCTCTGGCTGTTTTGTTTTTTTTTTTTTAGGTGTGTTTTTGACTACTTTTAATCTGACTTTTCTGTTCTTGAGGCCTATGAATGGTTTGCACCTTGTAGTGAACCCTCAGTGTTTGCTCTTGTGAAACCTTGTTGTTATAACAGACTTTGATCATGACATGTTTTCCTTCTGGAGAGTCTTCTTTACTTGGCTGGATGTTGTCAAGGGTTTTTTATTTACCATGGAAAGGATCTTGCGATCATCAACCACTGTTGTCTCCCATGCATGCCGAGGCCTTCTTATGTTGAAGAGCTCCCAGTGTGCTCTTTTTCTCTCTCACTGTACCACAGTGTTTTTTTTTCTGACCACTCCTGACGTTCCCACTCTCTCTCTGATGGATGTGTTCTGTTGTTGCAGCCTGAACACTGTTTTACTTGCACTGAGAGCTAATTTGACTGCAAGTTTTGGGATCACAGCAAGTTTCCAACTGCAATGCCACACTTGGAATCAACTCCAGACCTTTAAGCTGCTATACTGATGAGGAAACAATGGGGGAATAGCCCACATCTTTCCATGAAACAGCTTTTTCGACAACTGTCCAACTGCTTTTGGTCCAAAAAAAACAACTAAGTGAACTGTGGCTGCTGACAGGCAGCACACTGCAAGTCAGGAAAACAGTGTACTAGTAAAACTTTGATCAAACATAGATGGTGTCAAAAAGGTGTAGCCTCCATCAACATCCACTGCTCAACCCCCAGCTGTACATAGAACACAAACATTCTGTTCTCGTTAGCAGACCCTGCATGCAAAATGCAGCGTCACACTGCAGTCACATCAGTTTGAAGCATAAAGCCAATTAAGGCTCCGTTGACACCAGTCATTAACATGGTCTGTATCTGGACCCTGCCATCCAGTCCAGGGGTCTTTGTATGTACACCTGGTATTAAAATGTGTTCTTCTTATCTTGATTGTGCCTTTGACCAGATCTCAATAAGCAGAGGTAGGGCCCGCTGACATTGCCACAAACATGATGCCACAGTTCAAGTATTGCTGCTGATGGGCTTTTTTGTCAAACAACCATTACTGCTGCTGCCTGTAGCTTTTATTGGGTTTTCCTGAGTTAGCAGTCAGATGCAGAATGAGATAACTTTTCAACTTGTGTGACAGATTCTGTTTACATCTGATGTGAGCCTGACCACCTCCAAATACTGCTCCGATTCTTCTGATAGCATTTTGACCCAATGTGCATTTTTCTGATCAAGTCAAGTTATCTGATGGCATGTTAGTAACCAGGGAAATGGGCTCTAACTATTCACTGTAACATAACAGACACAGCTACAAGAACGATTAAGAGTCAAGGGTCTCTAAGTAGAGAACAGAAACAAATGCTACCTGTAAAGAAAGAACTAAATATAAAGACTGATGTATGATTTGGAAACTAGAGGGCAGTGATTTGTATTACATGATTAAATGAGCTAAAACTATTTAAATCGGTCATTTAAGAAGTCCCAATGAGAACCCTGTGCAGGTTTTTTGAATATGGAAAATAAAGTTGTTGACATTAGGACATGTTGTCGTCATTGTAGTGCTGCGATTAGAGAGCTGCAGACGGACACAGGACGGTGAAGCACACAGCACCAGCAACCCAACACACCACTGTCTGATTCATATCCAGGCTGGATTACAGGAAACCTTCCTGGGATTTGAGCACATCAGTGACCTTATCATGAACATCAAACTGACTAAAGCAGAATAAAGTATCCACTGAGCAGTGAAAACTGCTTTCAGTTTTTGAGCTGAACACAGGTGGAACATTTTATGACAAACAGTTAAACTAAATAGTTTGCTGCCTGCACTAGTTCTGTACCTGCAGGTACACCTCAAACACACTACTGCTGAAAGTAACTCTTTTAAAAACATCATGTTGGCATACCCTCAATAATTCCTCAAGATTTAAAAAGGGCTGAAAGAATAAATGACTTGAAGTTTGCACTGACCACAGTGAAGATCTGTACTTCTTCTCTGCTACAGTCACAGTGGACTGAAAGCCTCGATCCTGAGAACGCTGCACCTGAAAACACAACATACACAAACACTGTGACATACTGTTTACTGCTGCAGCCAAGACCAGAGACTATCCTCTGAATCTATGTCCCAAATCTTTTGAAAGTGACCATTCAGCAAAAGATTACTGGCCCGGGTTGTAAACGGTGGCATGGAAGACTGCTCTGCATATGGAGCTAACGGAAAAATTACCAAATATAGTATTGGCAGATTGTTGCCTAAGATCTGCTGCTTGATTTGTGGAAGAATCACAATGAAAGCAACCCACTGAACTCCAAAACAGTTTCTGCATTTCTTTTGTGACATTTTTACTGCTTCAGCTTAAACTCAAGATGTTGAACTGATTGATAACCCAATTTTAGTGACAGCTCTAGATCGAGGATTAGAAACGTTTTAGATGAATGCTTCACTTCCATAATTATGACTCAAACCTGCTGACTGTATTCCACAGTTCTAAGTTAAGTTTCATATTCTAATTTTTCGTACCGTTTCGTACAGCGGCTGCTCCAGTTTCTCCTTGCGGCTCCACTCCAGCAGGAACATCTTTGGTGTGATCTGAGGTGGATACTCCCTCCTGCCAGCACACACACAAATCAGATCATTAAATCTTCCACATGTAGGGACATTTTTCCAATTTAAAACACTGGTGACAACGCTGGACTAAAATGACCCTGAAAAATGTTCTTTTTCTTTGATATGTGTGGAAATGTTCACCAGATGACTTCAACAACTATTTGGAAATGATCGGTCTGATTTTGAGCATCTGCACAGAAAATAAATTCAAAAATTGTAAAAAGCTGAAAAAAACATTTGAAAATGTTCTTATGTAGTGTAACACTGATGAAGAGTTTTGTGCTTTGGATGACATTCAGATGTGGCTGCACTTGTCATACAGAGCTTTGTTGTGCTGATCTACAATGCCAGAATGAATTCATTGTGTTGCCTCGTGCAGTGGCAACAATTACAAGACCCTGCAGACACAGACACCATCTATGGTCAACATCATCCTTTCTGTCACCAAATTTCCATATAACTCATGTATCTAAGAACCCTTCAATCAGCGAAAATTATGACATTCCATCAGATTTATCTTGTAAATCAGTAATGGAAAATGAGATCTGTGTGAGTTTTATTTTTGTATGAAACAGGTATAAAGTAATGAACTAATATTTACATACAATTACAATTGTTACCATGTCATATTCTGTGATGATCATTGAAACATGTTTCTTTATCACAAAAAACAATTGTGTATTTTGGTTCTTTCATAGATTTATTATAAGTCTTCTGAAAATATGTCACGTTGTTTTGGGTCAAAAATATACACACAGCGATTTGAATTATTAGCATGAGTGACAAAGACAACTGTCATAATCACATTTTCTTTGTGGCATGGCCTCTTACTTTCTTGTGAATGATTATCCATCCATCCATCCATCCATTATCTATACACCGCTTAATCCTCACAAGGGTCGCGGGGGGGCTGGAGCCTCTCCCAGCTGACTTAGGGCAAGTGAATGATTATGATTTTACCAATTAAACTCAACCACAAAGACAACAGTGGAAGTCTAAGGAGCTCAGCAAAAATCTGGAAAAGCAAATCATTGTTTTGAACAAGACAGGAAGGTCATTTAGACGGAGAAAAGGCCTTCTGGAGGAAAGTTCTGTGATCAGATTAAACAAAATTTTGCAAGAGAAGGTGAGGCCTTTAACCCCAAGAACACCAAACCTATCATCAAGCATGGTGGTGGCAGCATCATGCTCTGGTGCTGTCCTGCTGCCAGTTGAACTGGAGCTTTACACAAAGTAAATGGAACAATGAAGAAGGAGGATTACCTCCATATTGTTCAGGAAAACCTAAAACCATTAGCAGAAGGTTGATCTTGGACACAGTTGGATGTTTCAACAAGACAATGGCCCGAAACACACATCAAAGTGGTAAAGAAATGGTTAAATCAGGCTGGAATGAAGGTTCTAGACTGGTCTCCCAAAGTCCTGACTTAAACCATCAAGAACCTGTGGACTGTGCTGAAGAAACAAGTCTGAGTCAGAAAGACAAGTTCGGAGTGGTCAAAGATATACAACCAGAAGCTTGTGGTCAGCTACCAGAAGCAGCTAATTAAGATGACAATGACAAACGAATGTTTAACAAAATGTTAGTATCATATGTATATTTCTGACGCAGCACATTTTGTCATAAAGAAGACGTATGATAAAGACATGAAAGAGCCAAAATGCTTTTTTTTTTTCTGTGACAAAGAAACATGTTTCTATGATTCCATCATAGAAAATTCACAGTTATAGGAGTCATTGAAAACTTTAGACTGCATGATATACGTGGTCCTTATAAGTGTATGTAAACTTTTGCTCACAACTGTAGCATGACGTGTTTGATTTATTTTGCCTTACAACACATTGCACCTCCACTGATGTGACTGTTGCACATGTGCACACCGCAATGCCAATGCTAGACTGATATTTTGTGCAGCCCTATTTGCTAAACAAAATATCCAGGAGAGATAAAAGGTTCAATTGGAGATTCATTCAGTGTCAGAGCTTAATGAATCCAGGAATTCTGCAAAACAGAAGC